CAGTTACTAATATCTTCGGGGGGTCTGGGACTTGTGATGTTCTTGATGCAGCAATAATACTGGCCGGCGTCTTTAGGTTGTACGTCATAGATGGTCAAGGTGTGATCCTTGAAGCCATCCATGTTAGAAAAAACGTACTTTCCTTTGGATGAGTTATCTGATAATAATGAGAGAAACAATGCATTATACTCTTTGAAGTGAAAAACAAAATGTTTGATTTTTCCATCCAAAACCGTAATAGTTGCTATCGGACTACACTTTCTATGGTTCCACAGACGTTTCCGAGAGTTCTTGAAAAAAAGAACTATAAAAATATATACTTATTCACCCACGCATCCACCCACCAACCCAATGACGCACCATCCATCCCATCCTATCCCATCCCATCCATCCATCCATCCACATCCATCCATCCCATCTAGCCATCTATGCACCAACCTACCCACCATCCATCCATCTCATCTATCCATCCATACTCCAAACCACCCCCCATTCCTTCTATCCCATCTATCCATCCATTCATCTATTCMTACCTTTCGTATCCAAGACCCAGATGTCATCGTTGTGAAGATTTTTTCTTTTCCATTCGGTCACCAGTGGATTTCCCTGAGCAGTGCACACAAGCCGATTCATTTTCTTTTCTTTTTTCCTTTCAGGGAAAAATCTAGGCTGAACTATAGAAATAATTCAAGTAACGATCATGTTGCTGTAAGTTTTTTTCACCGATGTTTTCTACAACTATGTATCAGTACCCATATGAGTAATTGAACTGACCTCTTACGATAATAGTTTTCCAAGTAACAAGAATATATATGTACCGTCCACATCAGTTCAAAACCAAAGGTTAAATTTATGAGAAAGGGGGACAATAACTTGCGATTACAACCCTTCCATCTTTTGCCCAGGTAAACTTGCCGATGGTTGTCATTAACGCGCGGCCTTTGTTAGTAACGGTGACATTACAACTGAGTTGATTCGTTCCCCAACACTCTCCTAGATTAGAAACATTTCATACCTGACACATAGATGCTACCAGTAACATTATACTCCTTGACATTTCTTAGCTTGGATGTCAAGTGACAAGAGTAGATACCACCAACTTCAGGACGGTCCACATAAACCTTGAGGGATTTAAGCGACTGTCCTTTTGGGTAAAGAACTTCTTCAATAAGCCGACCATCTTTGGCCCACATCAGCTTGGTTAGTTTAGTCCGTTTAGAAGCGGCTTGACTGATGGTAAAGTTACAAGTAAGTACAATATTATCTCCAAATTCTGCAGATACATTGTTAGAGACTTCAATGCCTGGAAGCTCACTTCCTGTTATAATCAAATAGTATCAAGCATGTAAAACATTTTACAGAGTTATTCTAAATCAAGGGTAGTGTAGTCTCACCTCTGCAGAGGTTTCAGGTTTTATTTCTGGAATGACTTAGCATCATGTCAGCAGAATTTATAAAGTCTATCTCTTGGTGTGAGGGCTTTTATCC